CAATGAAGCTGAGAGAAGAGCAGGGCTCTGAAAAGTGACACTATGCCTTTACACAGAAGTGAGATTGTAGGGAGTCCTGAGACTCAGATGTTCAGAGGGGAGAGGAAATTACAGTACTACTTCCATACCTCCCTGGACTGAAAGAGTTGCCACTATCGATGGACTGAAGTCTGAAGTTCTGTTAGCTTATTCTGGAGCAGGGTGATTTAACATTGGTGTGTCTGGACTGTCTGTCTTCCTTGTCTCAGGGAGAGAGGGGAAGATTTATGGGTGAGAAAGAGGGTCAAGAAACTGCAATAAAACTTTGATGCTTCAACAGAGTCAGCCTGAACTGTTTTCAGATCTTACTAATCCTCTGTTAAAACTTCTTGTCTTTTTGCTGCCAAGTAGAAGCCAGAATACTCTTTGTTCTTGCCATTTCCATGCAGGGTAAAGAAGATAATGACAGGCAACAAAGAGTTAAGCAACTAACTAAAGTATAATGGAAAATAGCTGTCTGTCTTTTGGAGCTGAAGGGGACTTTTGAAAATCCATGTATTTTGTAGCTAGTTACTGCTTGCTGTGTTGCACATGCTTCACTGTCTTTCAGGATTCTTGCACAAACCAGGACAAATGGCAATCTAAATTACAGAAGACTCTAAAACGTATTTACAATTGGTTTTAATTTTTTAAACTGAGGATGGCATAGACTTTTAAATGCTGTCTGTTGATCAAGAGACTACACAGCTTGAGGATAACAAAATGCTGGAAGAGGAAAGGGTATAAATAGAAACCCCACTTCCTTGTTGAGTAGAAGCCAAACCTGTGGTTGAACCTTTCTATACGAGAGTTCGCTGAGGTCCAGATAGGCAGTTGAATGCAGATTTCTGAAGAAACCCAAAATTCTGAAGTCTGAGGGGGAATGTACATAGTACCTACTGCAGACTGGATTGGGTATTTCTTTCCTATGCAACATGTGGCCGCAGTCCTTGGAAAAAGAAGATACCAGTGGAACTCGGAGAATGTTGGTGCAACTCCAGCACCAGCTCAGTGAAAGGAGAAATGTATGTCTGACCTTTGAGTGCATCGCCGTATGTTTGGGCCTGGAAAAGGCTTAATATCATTTAAAAACAGCCTCGTGAGACTGAGGATTTGAAATATGGGCTCATCTGGACAGTAGGATAAATGTGTCTACTGCTCTTTTTTCAAACTTGAAAATATTTTTCTATTGATAAGTAAGGGAGTATTTTACAGCAATAAGCATGTTTTTTTTTCTCCTGATAAATTTTCCCAGTGATGTCCTGCATATCACAAATTATGCTGCTGATGTTTAAATCATATTACACTGCATTGAGCACCCTTCTTTTCTAATTCTTATAGTCTCTAAGTAGTATATGACATTTTTAGATACACGACTTAGATTTTTTTTTTTAATAGGAGTTTTATGACCAAAACTTTGCATAATGCTTTTAAACCAAGGGGATGTATAAACCAGAATCTAATTGTTTTGTAAAATGAATAATTTTGTCTGTTATCTCTTAATTAAAATACAGCTTTAAAGTTGCTCTAGTTCAAACAAATTAAGTCAAGAAATTTTATGGCCTATATTTATACAGGAGGTTAGGCTAGATGATCAAGTGGTCTCTCTGGCCTTATCTATGAACATATCTGCAGTTCAGTTCTGATGAAAGACTTTACTGGGGAGTGGTGGTGGGGAGTTGGTAGCCCTACCTACTAAGTCATGTGTTTGTGATTTTTTTCAGAGGCAAATTTCAGTTGCTTGGTTTGGCAAAATTGTAATTATGTATCTATTTGCATCAGGATTGTGTAAGGGGAATTGTTTGGGTTTGGGATTTTTTTCTTGGGTCTTTGGTGAGGGTGAGTGGGTTTGTTTTTTTTTCCCCTAGTCAAAAATTATGAACCAGAATGTGTGAAGTGCTCAAAAGAACCCATATTAGTTCCTGCTCCCAAAGGTCTGTGCTGTCATGGCATGTCTGTCTATTTGCTGTTTACCTTCATCCACCTTCCTAATATGTAGGTAGATGGGAAGAGGAGATTGCAGGGTTCCAGTGGAGATGAGGAAATGCCAGATCAGAGGGAAGCATTTGGAAGGCGGAGCCTAAAGAGGGAAGAGAAACTATGACTTCCAGTTAAGGGAAGAGACTAGAATTTAGGTCGATGGGAAACGAAGGCATGCTGAACAAAATAAATTTGAGGGTGGCTAAACAGGATGGGTCAACTATGGCAGGCTTGGTAAGATTGGGAACTGGTGGAGCTGGGGAGGTATGTGAGAGTTAATTTATTATTTGGGCTAGTAGAAATACGGATAACTGATATATTTGGGTATTTGAGATAGGAACGAGTGAAAGAAGTACACTGAAAATACTGATTTCTCCAGAAAGCTGTTCTATCCTAGTGGACATCTTGGTCAGCTTGGTGTGCAGCTGCCTATAACTGTTCTAACTCCATTAACTCAAACAATATCAGTCTATACAAAGATTCGTGGCTTATCCTTGCAGGACCATACACCTGAAAATTTGGCAAGACGTTGGGATTTTCCGATTTGCCCCCCCCCCCCTCCCCAGCACAGAGCAGCTCTGCATTTAATTTTCAGTTTACAGAGTCAATCTGAGTTGGGAAACACTAGATATTGCTATATTTTGGCCTCCTTAAGAACTTAAGACCCCTGGGAGGTGGATGTCAGACTTCTAAGTCAAAAAAAATTTTGTTTCTCTCCAAATGAGCTGTTCTTATTCTTCCTTTCCTGTGAACATTTTTACATTTTTGACCTTTCAGTCCTGATTTCAAACAAAAGTTTATTTTAATCTTAAGGAAAACTAATTACAAGAAAAAAAAAAAGTATAGATAGCATTAGCACACATGAATTTGGTCTTTTGTTTTTTTGCATATAAAAACTTCCAACTGCTTTCTCAGGAACAGTTTGTAAAGACAAGGAGAAAAAAGTTCATTCCTGTGTTTCTTAAATCTCCTGTGTAACTCTCTTTCAGTATGTTTATGCATACACCCAACTTTACCCAATATGAGTCATCTCATGACTTCAATTAGCTGTCCCTTTGCTGCTGTCTGGCTATGCAGCTCTTCCCTTACACACTTGATGAGTCTTTGTCCGGCTCGCTGCAGTCTACTTGCGTCTTCACAAGTCTCGGTGCAGCTAGCATAAATTCCCTTGATAAATCCTGATTTTAGGGAGGGGTATCCTGTGGAGCCTTTCCTCCTGCATCCTTCTTGGAATGCAGGACTAGAAGGGAACACAAAAGGTCATTCATTTTCCTTGTCTTGGCAAGATTGAAACCATTCATGGCAGATGTTTTTCTTCAACCTACCTCTGACATCTTTTGGAGATGGACCACTGTTTAGAGAGACCATTTCCTTAGGTTGTTTCAAGTGCTTAAGTAGCCTTGCTCTTGGAGAAACTGATCTAGCCTAAATTTCCTGTGATTTAAACTTGTTTGCACTCTCATCCACAGCAAAAGTACCAAAAATATGTCTTGCTGTCCTTTTCATATGTCTGTTAACCATTTTCACGCCTCCCCAAGTTTTTGCAGTCTTTCATGGTAGAGTGTGTTTACAAGACCTCTAATAATTTTTCCTTGCAGGCCTCTTTACTTCATAACAAGTGTAAACTAATAGTTTGACATAATTTATTTTCATGGCAGTTACTTACCTCATTATCTTATAGGCGCTTACAAATTTTGTTTTTCACAGTACTGTGGGGTGGAATTGAAGATTACCTGACTCCTCATCTCCTTTATGTTCCCCCCCCCCCCTTTTTTTTTTTAAGAGATGGTGTGAATACAAGTGCTTTATAGTATCATATGCGGAGAATTACTAGTTGACTGAGAAACATTTTTCAACTCCAGAAAAGATCTTGAGAAGTTAGACATTAATGGAATTAATAGGCATTAATGACCTATAACAAAGATAATTTATGGATGATTCTCAAAATACACTGTTACAAGTAATATTTGGGTATTAAAATGCATGATTGATGACTAAATATTACTACTTGTTTTTATAAGATACTTTACCAAATACTGCATTGTACTTGGGGACCTGACCGGTCAGTCCTTGGGGGCTGATGACAGCATAGAGCAAGCATGCATGGACCTGGGTGTCATGGGCTTCCACGCTAACTGGGCATGGGCAAAAGCAGACTGCTGTTCCCGGCAGCTTCTGCCAGGTGCATTGGCTCTAACTAAATCTCTGGAGAAAATGGAACAGGACAGACAAAAACACAGGCTTAGCAAAGGAGTTAAACTACAGTAATTTGAACCCTTTCATTAGAATTGTTGCTGCAGGACTCTTTCAGGATGCAGACTTTCAAAATAGTCCACAACAGAAAGCAGTATCAGTTCAAATAAAAATAAATCCAGAATTTTGTGACTAAATAATCCATCTTTCTAAGTTTTCTCCCATTACAAACTATTTGCTGAGTAGCACTAACAGCAGAAGGAGATAATCCACAAAATATAACTTCTTGTACACCCTCTCACTGGAGAAGGTAGGCTAGGTGGATATTTGTTTTACAGTATCTGAGAAACAAACATTGCTTTTTTTGTTTTACTACTTCTATCTTTTTAATAAAATTAATAATGTACCTTCTGTCTTTAAAATCAATTTAAATACTCTCTCTGTAGTTTATTGTTGTGATCTGTCCATCTTAGGTTGGTACCAGCTGCAGCCTTTGGGAGAACCTGAGTCATGTCTCCTCAGTAAAATCCTGGGCTGAGGTAGCCACATCTATGCAGTGGGAGGAGGTTAGTGCCCAGCCTGCTGAGTAGTCATTGTCCCGCTACAGTCAAAACCCGGCAATTTCTCTCAGTATGTTCCGTCTCTCTTTCAGCACTCATGCACAGATATCCTCTGTATGGTGACGAGGTTACAAATGAAGACACAGTAACAGTTCACATGTCCTTCTAGCCTCATGTGGGACTGGGACATGATGGATGTGCACACTTGGTACGGCTTTCACACCAGATACTTGGACTGCTATGTCTGCTTTTTTGATGCCTTGCCATTATTAGATGGTCCTACAGTGTGCAAAAAATAGGGGCCCTGCTTTTTTTCTTTCTCTCTTTTTTTTTTTTTTTTTTTCCCCTCTGATTTTTTCCCAGGTTTCTCTGGTTTATTCCCAGGTTTTGCAGACCACTTCTCAATGTTTTTCTCTTTCCTCATGTTCAAAGTTGTAAAATACAAATGTGGCAACAGAGTTCCCCCTTTCCCAGGGAATTGTATAATCTAATTTTAGGAGGACTCAAGAGTTTTTCTTATTACATATCAAATATGAAGGATTTCAGTGATTTAATAGTTTTTTGTTTTTGTTTTTTTTTCACTTTGCTAGGTGACACAATTGATGATCAAAGTAGAGAGTCAAAGGATAAAACTTCATTTCCGGAGACCAGACCGATGTACAACCCACCTCCACAGGTAGGAGACTTACTTCCTTATGGACACATGATGAAAATTCCATAGCAGCTCATTTAAGAATCATGAATGTCCTGCAGGAGAAGGTTTCAACATGTTCACATCTTCCATGGACTGAGTGCCTACTCAGCCTTCCTTGTCACCTATCGTAAAAGAAGCATTGCTAGTAGTTAGATGGCAATATTATCAAGGCCACCAATACTGATTTGAAAAAGAAATGGTAAGCAGGCAGGGCTTTATGGTATTGCTGAGTATGTTATTATTATACTTGAGACGTGCAAGCATGAGACTGTAACTGGAATATTAATGCATTGCCTAGAAGCATTAGCATGGTGAGTAGTGATGGAAACTGTCAAACATTTACATAAGTCATTTATTTCCACAGCTACCAATATAAGTAACATGTTGTAAATGTGTGAGTATAATAGACTGTCTTTACTGTGTGTTTGCTTTCTCTTTCAGTACTGTGTGGCTGTAAATCTGGACTTCTTTTTCTTCACCTGATTTATTTAATATTTAATCCATGTATACCAAAGAGGGCTTTTCAGAATATTTCTCCGTATGTTGTACACATATTTTCTTCTCCACCTCCTCTGAAAATGTTTTTGCAATGAGTATGAGCCTGTTTAGTATTGCCATATAGTTTTAGATATTTACAAGATAACTGTGAGACATTTTGCTTGGATTTGTGGTGGTTTTTTATTTTTCTTAACCTATACTTTCTCTCTCTATTTCTCATATCTAGCCTTGGAACTAACTGTGTCTGTCTCTCTCTTCTAAATGCCATTTTAATATTTATTACTGTTAAGTCCCTTGGTATGTATTAAAAGTCTGTGTGATAATGTTGCATCTTTGAGTGGTCAACATGTGTGTGATCTGTAGTCTCCTTTTTAAATTTCAAATTCAAAACTGTGTCCGATACAGAAATCTTTAATTCGTCATAAGTAATGAGTGGTTTGCCTTCTGACAACATGACAGTATGAATTAGTTACAATTAATCACAAAATTTTATTCTGACTTCTGAATCAATGCACATCTGAGCTAGGGTGTTTTGCAACTGAAGGCCTGCAATTTTGAGGCAGAATAATGCACTGATGTTGTGGTTGCCTGCTGCACAGACAGAGTTTCCCTTGATGTGATGTTCTTGCTAGGTATTGTGAGCTGCCAGTTATTTTAGTGTCAGTAAAATAGGAAGTTTTGTAGATTTTCATAAGTGTTTATGAGCTAGAGGAAAGAAGCAAAGTTTTCAAAATAAAATAGCAGATATTACAGTGAAAATAAAACATATTTATTTTAATTTTTATATTAAAATACAGTATGCCACAAAAATACTTCTATGAACTGGCCAACAACAACAGCTGTTAAATTAAGATACAGCAGATAAGCATTTGATAGTATCTAAGTTATTAATTTCAGTCTATGAATTTGGGTGTTTGGACTTCACATCTACTCGAAGGAGTTCTCCATTTCTCAAATTAGATAGAGTAATTGAAGATTATGGAAATGAAGTAGATAAGTCTGGCCATTAGGGAAGCAATATTCCTACTGGCAGTACTAAGTGTGTTTTTATAAATTTTCGGGAACAATCTACCAATTTAGCAAAATTGGAAAAACATTGTATTATATATGTTATGGAGAAATAGAACATTAATTGAAATAATAAACATGTTACCATTAAAACAAGAATACTTCGTAAACATAGTGCAGTATGTTAAAAGATATCTGTTAGAGTGCAAAGTAGTATCAGATATTTGTCATGCAGAGTTGAACAGAAGAGCGTTTGGTTCTTCAACTGCATCTTTCCATTGCTGGAAGCTTGCTTTTATTTTAAAATATAGCCTGTTTTGCAATTTAATAGATGTAGACGTCGTGGAACATGGAAAATGCTTTTAGAACTGTGGTTTAAAGAATGAAGTAATACTTTGTCCATGGCTCACTTCCTTATTCAAAAAGGAAATGAGGTTGCGTTTCTTGGTTTCTTGTGTTGTTGTTGGGTTTTTTTGGGTTTTTCTGTTTGTTTGGTTTTTTTTTAAGAATGTATCTTCTGGAGTATTTTTTAGTAACTGTTGTCATCTTTGGAATTTCGCATTTACTTGGGTAATGTTGGATTTGTTTTCTGTATGATTACTGAATTCTCAAGTACCTATTTCTGTATAAACTTGCACAACTTATTTAAACTAATGCAGAAATAGAGGCTTACATCAAGACTATCTTGCTGCAACTAGCAACGTGTACCAGAACCTCTCGAAACAACTGCAGTACCTGCAGTCTGCATTATTGTAAAAGATTTGCACACTTGTTAGAGGAACTGCAGATACTTAAAAACTTGTTGGGAAAGGGTGTTCTCAAAGGCTGACTTTAGTCCAAATGTTTCATCTTCTCCAGAGGGTGAGAACAGAGGCTCCGGCTTCGAACAGTCCGACGTGGAATAGCCTCTCCATCTCCATGAGTACAGACGGAGGTTTGGGAGGGTTGTCTCCCGACGCCAAGCCAGTCCTAGGGAGATGCGTTGTCCGGCCGGGTGGTGAGCGCTCAGGGCCTAATCGAGTGCGTATGATCCCGCTGAAGTTGCTTCAGGCTCGCAAACTAAAACTCATACACACGTTTAAGTGTTTTTCTGGACAGGGGCCAAAATGCTTAGTGCTCTGCAGGGCCGAGGACTTAAATTAGTCTCTTTGTGACACTGGAATACAAAGCTTCTAATTTTAACTGCAACGCCATCATAATAGAAAGAGATACCACGGTTTTATTTTTTCATGCTTGTGAGTTTTCCATTATTATAGTACAATTTCCAGATAATTCAATCTGTTTTCACTGGGAATTTAAGATTATAGAAAATAACAGAATGGAAAGGTTCGTTCTGATACATGAAGAGTGTTAGAAACCATAGTAATGTGGTGGGGTTATTTTTGATAATGAGCTATTGCGTTGGTAAAGCAAATTAGTGCAACCATGTATTTTTGTCCTACTGTGAGAGCAATTATGTAGCATATCTATTAGGAGACATAAAAAATTTTTTTGACAGATGGTATGGCTGTGAATTAGGATTTATGAAGATTATTGTATGTCTGGTGTCCAGGACACCTGGGATTATTAAATTGATGTAAGAACAGCAACAAAAAATTACGTTTCTGGTAATAGCTGCAGTGGTTTGTGTCTCCCTACTGTCACCTTAAGAAGCAGCTCATGTTTATTTGATATTGGACTTCTTGCTAATGTGACATGTGCTCTTTAGCCAACAGATGTCAGGAGATTTAATGTGTTAAAACTGTACCAGTAAGTGTATTACAATAAACTACCAAAAATGAGAGCTGTCTTTAGATTGTAAATTAAGGTTTTTCTCTTGCTGTGTGTTCTTTTTTGATTTTCTTTATAGTCTTATTTCTCCCTCAGATACTTAATAGCTATTGCCTTCTAAGGAGCTTGTTACACGTTTTCTAGGGCAAGAGAGAATCCCCCAAGGGATTGCTTAATCCATAATTACCTAATTTATGTGTTGTTGTTATAGCCACTCTTAATTATATACCTTTGCTGTGATACTTATCATTATAGGACATAGTTTTCTTTATATTGCAATAGTTCTGTTACGGTTCTTGTGCCCTTTCTTTTCATAATTTGCTACTGTAAACTGAGAATGTAGCAGATAGAAGACCTATGTTTCCTGAAGTAATTTTAAAATTATCCATGGTTTTCTGCATATAGATACTAGTGTGCACTGTTTTGGGCAAGTCTCTAAATAAGAAAAAATATTTTAATATCAGAATTGGCAGATAATATCCTCATTAAATTGATCCTTTGTAAAGCTGCTATGTAAAGATTCTGAAGAGATGTAAATAACAGTTTCTCAGCATCTGGTTAGGGGTCATATTAGTCAATTGGAAAGACAGAAATACTGGGAGGTATAAAATATCAAGGAAGACATAATAGGAGTTATGAGCGCACAGATTAGGGGAAAATATTTTCTTTCTACTCATCGAGACAAATTAGCAGTTATTGCTGAAGCTGATGGACTTTTAAGATATCCTTTTGAGCAGATCATCTGATATAATTCCAGGGCATGAATAATGCTGTTCTCTTTTTATCTTTTCTTTAAAAAAAAATAAAATTGGTTCTTCCATACCTGTTATTGCCCAGTTTTTACTAAAGCTTGGCCATCTGGATTATTTTAACAAATTACTGAAAAAGGAGCTATTACTGATCGTGTCTCTGTTCAGTCACCCAGCTCTTAGTTTATAGTTCAGAGGATCCCATATTTAAAATCTTGAGAAGGGTGTTCTGGGCTAGATTTACGGCATCATTTAAAATGCCGTGCATTTGCTTTATAGAAGCTGGTTTATATTTCAAAATTATTGGCCAATGTCTGTGATTAGTTTGCTTCATTTTGACAAAGTATAGTGTCTATAGAAAATGTTGCTGCTTAGATTGGCACTTTTTTTTTTAACCTCTCATAAGCTAGAATTCAAGTCATGGCCTGGTTAGATTAATTGCTTGTCATATGTTGTATTAACTCCAAGATCTTCTTTTTCACCTATAAAGCCCTTAAAGCAAGTTGGTCCTTATTTTCTCTCTTCTTAATTGGGTATGTAAGCAATAATCACTTAATGAAATTATCCACTCTTGGAAGGGACTGGCGTAAGTCTGCAGCAGGTCATCAAGCATATATACTTTTCTGTGAATGCTGGTACCATCAGAAGAAAGATCTTACGTTTTACTCAACTATTGTGTATGACCATAAGCTATAGGAAATGAAGTTTTAACACTACCTTTAAAGAAGGATGACTGTTTTCAGTGTTGGTGCCTGCAGCGGACGTCATCTTTCTTAGATCTTTCCATCCTTTGCATGTATAGTAAATAGCTGGCAGTTCTTTGGGGGATCTGTGTGCAGCCACAGATCAAAAGTGCATACGAAGTAGGGCTGCCATATGATAAGAAGGGCACAGTATATGGTTGTGATCTTACTGAGAACGAAGGTAAGTAGCCCAGTCAGCTGAAAAAATCAACTA